CCATTTTAAATCCACTATATCCAAAATATTATCATTCAATGTAAAATGAATATAAAATAGGTAACATTCTACATTTTTGTTTCTTGTGATATCATATGTATTTCCTACTTACAGGGTATTTCATTCCAGAATATGTACTATTTCCTATGTTCGGTTAGTCACTTGTGGCTGTGGAGCTAATAAAAATAAATACAACTTCAGAATGACCTCTGCTCTCATCTTCGTTTATGATGAGGGTGCTTAAAAATATGTACTGTTCATATATTGTATACTGAAATTATGAAGACAAAATGTCTGGAGTGTTCCTAATGTCATTGGGCCTAGTTGAGACAATCAGAAATTTTCTGTTCAAAATGGGATTGAACTGGGTGTGAAGATTATTCCCAGCCATCTGGAGATGGAGGTAGCAGGAACTCTGTGAGTTCGAGGCCAGGCAGGGTTACATAGTGAGACCCTGAATGAAAAATAAATCAATTCAAAAATAATTAAAAGATGGAACTGAGTTAGAGCAGCAGGGGTAAACTGATGTCAGGGCTCTGGGGTTTGTCTTCTGAGCCCCTAGAAAAAAGAAACCAAATCTGTTGAGCAAAAGCGTAGAACAGAACTAAATTACAGGTTAGGGCCTAGCCAGGAGATGTGCTGGGCTGCATTCTTGTCCCTCCAGTCTGCTTTCCCACTTCCTCCCTGAGCCCTGTGAACTCCTGTCACTGGAAATACCTCACCGACCTGAACTGAATCACGTGGTAGCAACCTGAGATCTAATCGTGGATGCTAACTATAGCACAGGGTGGGGCGGCGCGTTTGTGAAGCCAACCCTTAGAAGGCTAGCACAGGAGGATCTTTGTTGTACACCGAAAACGGAACTGCTTAGCCAAATCTTATCCGAAAAACAAACAAAAATCTTGCTGGGTGTGGTGGTCACACCTTTAACCCCAGCACTTGGGAGGCAGAGGCAGGAGGGTCTCTGAGTTTGAGTCCAGCCTGGTCTACTGAGTGAGCTCTAGGACAGCCAGGGCTATGTAGAGAGACCCTGTCAAAACCAAAGCAAACCAAACCAAAACAACAAACACACATACAAACAACCACAGCAAAAATCAAAATAACCAAACATCCAACCCACAAAAATGTTACTTCAGATGGAACCACAAATAATGTTTCAAATAAGACTGAGGCCGTGTGCATGTAGCTCAGTGGAAGGCTGCTTGTGTGTCCTGAGGCCTTGAGTTCCATCACCAATAAATAAAGAATATAATAATAATAACAATGATATAATAATACAAAGCTCAAAGTAAATGGCACTGTTCAAAATATCCACTACAGTGCACCTTCTTCAAGTACTTTCAAATCTACATATTTACTTGATTTCTACACTCCAAGAGTTAGATGTGACAAATCATCCCAAGAAAAGATAATTGATTTTATGATTTTCATTCAGTCCTTCTTTGCATTTTTAATTTATTGGATTTAGATGTATGTTTAAAGTTGATCTGAATATAGGAAATGTTGTATAAACATATTTTTGTAGATTTTTTTTTCTTTTATATCTTCCCCCCCACTTTGGTAGTAGAGGTGAAGCCAAGGGCCTTGAGTATACCAGACAGACGATCTCCCCTTGAGCTACATACTCAGTCCCCATTTGTACCTTTATACGAGACATTTTCCTTTAATTATTTGAGATCTAAGAGGTATAACTCACCCATAGCCTTTACATGCAGCACCCCACCCCCCAGGGCCCCCCCCCAGCACCTCCCCACCCCACCCCACCTTCTTTACTCTTTTCTTCCCCTCAGAATGCATGTGCTTCAAGAGGAGACTGCCAAAGGTCTGACCACCTCTTCATCCTGAGCCTAAAAATTGGTCTGTTTAAGAAAAGTCCTTTTCTCAGCTTATGTTTATGAAATTGTCAGCAAGGACTCTCCCTCTACTTTTGAGTATCTGTGAACTGTGAACTGATAAAGCTCAGATGAAGAGGAGCTTTATCCCCAAGAACATTCGTATTCTGTAAGCACAGGGTACACAGAAAACGAATGAAACTCAAAGATGAAGTTAGATTGAGGAATTCAGAATGAATTATGGTAGCTCAGAAGAGGGGTTCAAGTTTCAGAAGATGACAAGGTTGGTGAAAACTGGCAGGAGGCAGGCATTTACACCCTGTGACAGTCCTGTCCTCTGAGGAAGGCCTCATGTCACTGCCCTCTCCACACCCAGCGTGGTAGGAAGTGCTCTCCTTTTCCAAGTACAAGAATGGAGATTCCTTCACAAGGCAACGATGCATCTGCTGATTTTCAGTTCATAATAATCCCCAGGCCAACACGGCAAACACTGAGTACCACTCTCTTCTCTTTCCAAACTTATATCCATCCTTACTAATTTTATAATTTTCAGCAATTAGATATACTATTACTTCCCTAGGCCTAAAGCAAACAGGTAGTTGAACTACACAAACTGGGAGGAAAATGTAGACAACAGCTTTGTGTTTGAAATCCCAGCTAGAGATGAACAGAAGCCATGCATGCAGGATTAATTAGTCCATCAGAGGAGTTTGGAAGGGATCAGGGACTAGGGGCTGCTGCTAACGACACTTAGGGAGAGCTAGCATTTCCCGTGCACTTAATTGTAGTAAGCTAAACACATAGCTGTTTATTACACACTTATTTCACAACACAGTCTTGGCATAGCACGTTGAGGTGGGTGTTATTACTGCTCCCATTTTAGAGATTGAGATGGAGGCTTGGCAACATTAAGGATTCATTAGCTAGCTTCTGATCTCTGAGTCAGTAACATTATCTTCTATGTAGTAATAATTTTCCACAAACCTATGAGACATACATTTAATTAAAAATTTCTCATCTTGCATTAAAATCTAAAAAGAGCTAAAACCTATTTTGATGCTGTCAACCTAGGCTAAATAAATATTTCAATAAATTATATGAAAATATTTTTGCATATGAAGTCTTTGTAGTCTGGAATCCACTCTACATTTAAAGCACGATTTGGACTAGACTAGCTAAATTTCAAATGCTTGTCTGACATACAGTCAGTTCTCATAATAAATAGTGTAGGGGAAACAAAAACATATGCTCTGGGTCGTATGTAGCTATTTCCAAGGAAACAATAATTCTGGTATGGGCCGGAAGTTTAGAGAGAATCATTTAATGTCTTGTGTCTTACTGGCTCTCTTATGCCTCTACACACCAGCTCTGACCAAGTTCAGAATCTAATCAAGGCCAAGGCCTGTCTATCACAGCTTCTCCTGTCTACCTGGGGGCAGCCTTATATCGGAAACAGAATCACCTGTGAAGAAGATGAAGAAGAAATTATATTTGATCACCCATTTGGGTACAAACCTATTTAGCAGAAGATATTAATTGTATTTGTTTGCTGTGCAACTAGCTGGTAATATTTGCTGGTAGTTACCTTATTAAAATCCCTTAGTCTGACGTGGGAGAAAATGATTTGAAAGCTAGTGGTAATTATAACTAATAATCCAGTCTAACTACCTTTACATTTGTTTGTTTTGAGACATGATGTCAGTTTGCTGCCCATGCTGACATGTAACTCACTATATAGGACAGCAAGGCCTTAAATTCCTCATCATCTTGCTTCAACCTCCTGATGAGGCTAAGGAGCCCTAGTATTTGATCCATGTGATTCACACTTGTGTTGTCTGCTGGGGTCTCCCTAATGATCCACGGTTCTAATTTTACTTTTTTTCTATAAGGACCTCTTTCTTTTTAGGAAGATGCTATTCAATAATGAACAAATTGATAAAGTGTTCTAAAGGTGTACCTGGACTTTCAATTGAGGTCAAAAGTGTTCAAATTGCTTATAACTGACTGTATTGGTTTTATCGATCACCTCATGCTCCCCCTTCCCCCATTTCTCTAATAATGGCATCACCATCCAAAGCATTCTAGAAAGCAGCTATGCCCCAGGGCCAGATAAGCGTCTGCAAAAGTGAATGTAAACAGAATATAGGATGCTGGTGGGGAGGCCATGTATAATTTGACAAAGCCAGAGTTTAGAGGCAGGTTGACCTGGATGTTAAGGAAAACCAAGTGTCTCATCTTCCAAGGCCCTGGATGGGGCCCTAGGCCTGCAGTCATCCTATTGTTTTGTTTTAAGTTATGAACCTAACTTTATTTTATTATGTATCATAGTCATTTTGGCTTGGGTTGTCATTTCATTTCTTTGGTTCATATTTCCAATATTTGCATCATGTATAGTGAAGGCCTTCATTTTATGTCCCACTAATCACAACCTCAATTACAATTCACCTTTATGCCGGATGTGGTGGCTCATGCTTTTAGTCAGTCCCAACACCCAGCAGGCAGAAGCAGGCAGAGGCAGGCAGAGGCAGGCAGATGCAGGCAGGTCTCTGAGTTCAAGGCCAGTCAGGTCTACAGAGCAAGTTCCAGGACAGCCCTGGCTACATGGAGAAACCCTGCCTCAAAAAACCAAACAGAAAAAGAGAAAAGAAAGGAAACAAGAAAACAATCAACCTTTATGTGATTGTTAGAATGGTGATGAGACTATTTGGAATTTTGGTTGAAAACTATTTAGTTACATTCATTTTTGGTTTAGTGAGATAAAGTGATCTACAAGCATGCTTATCTTACATATTAGCAATGTTACTACAGCTCTTGCCAGCATTTCTGATGTGAGGCTTCAGGGAACACTCCTTATAAGGTCACAGCCTCACCTGGACTCCTGGTAAGATCATGCAGTCTTAGCCATCAGCTGATGACATGGAAACCTTAGGTATCAGCTCTGGGCATGAATACAGTGAAGAAAAACAGCTAGAAGCTAGACCGAGAAGACTTCAGCCAGATTGTAATTCATACAGAAGACATTCTTGACTGATTCACCAAGTATGAACAGTTCTGTAAAATTGATTAAAAAACTGAGTTTTTAAGTGGAAACTGTTCCAAGTAGTCAAGAAAATAAATTACAAACTTTACTAAAGGAAAAAAGCAAAACACCAACTGTGTGTAGTAAACATTATAAAATATATTTTATCGGGAATCAGTGAAGTTAAAAGAAACAGCACAGAATGCTTATGAGAATGTTAATTTTGTGAGTTTTCTAAAGTTTCCCAACATATTCATAGGCTGCCTAGATTTAGATGTGTAATTAGTATCTATCTATCCACCCTATGTCTTAATTTGGTTAGAATTGAGGTTTCTATCCTGAGGGTGGTAAGACTTATGGCTTATGACTAACACAGCACATTTTTAGAACAGGGACAGCTTTGCAGCACAGAACATCAAGCCTTTGACATATATTCAATGTCATACTACAAGCAGAAAGTGAACGTGTCCTTCACTATATTAACAGTGCAGACTTCCAGGACACACGAGATCCAGAACTAAATGCAAGAATTGGAGACAAGCTGAGTACGAATACTGACCTTTAAGTAATATACAAACACAATCATCATCGAACCACGGGGACAGGGTTACAGCACCATTACATGAAATTTTGGGTGGCTCTTAAAAGAGCCTTTTTTTTTCTTTTGAAAAGCGAGGTTGGTCCAGATTACGCCCTCTCCCCGCGGATGCGGCGCGCCAGCTGGATGTCCTTGGGCATGATGGTGACCCGCTTGGCGTGGATGGCGCACAGGTTGGTATCCTCGAACAGACCCACCAGGTAGGCCTCGCTGGCCTCCTGCAGCGCCATCACGGCCGAGCTCTGGAAGCGCAGGTCGGTCTTGAAGTCCTGCGCGATCTCGCGCACCAGGCGCTGGAACGGCAGCTTGCGGATCAGCAGCTCGGTCGACTTCTGGTAGCGCCGGATCTCGCGCAGCGCCACGGTGCCGGGCCGGTAGCGGTGCGGCTTCTTCACGCCGCCGGTGGCCGGGGCGCTCTTGCGGGCGGCCTTGGTGGCCAGCTGCTTGCGCGGGGCCTTGCCGCCGGTGGACTTGCGAGCGGTCTGCTTGGTACGAGCCATAGTAGTGACCAAAAAAGACACAAATGTTACGGAGAAAGGGAAATCTTGCCCTTAAATATACCTAAAAACATTCTGATTGGCCTTGTGACTTTTCGAAAGTCCCGCGCCAAAATCTCATTGGCTGAGTAATATTCTGAGCGCTGGTCAAGCGTTAAGCTTATCTGATTGGCCAGATATTCTGACACGCCCATATTACTTTATTATTATTATTTTTTTTTGAAAAATTGTGGTGTTATGTAGTTTTGTCTACCCTTGGAGTCTCGTCAAACACCAGCCCCAGCACAATGCTCCAATTTGCTTTGTCTTCGTGGTGTTATTGTTTCGTCGTGGTACACTGTGTCAAGTCTTGTAACTACTTAGGAATTAAAGTTAACTCATAATCCAGCAATCCTAATTTAGATTGTTGCTCTTAAAAGGGACAAGTAATTCACGAGTTTAGGGTGAAGGCTTAATAATTTTCGAATTCTTAGATAATGTAAGAATGTTGTTTTGGAATAAACTGGAGAGATAAACTATGATCGATGAGTTTACCTGTGCCGGAGCCGGTGCACGCGGCCCACGGGGAACTGCAGGCCGGCCCGGGAGGAGCGGGTCTTCGCCTTGGAGCGAGCCGTGTAGCCCTGTTTGCTAGGATCAGACATGACTTAAGTTATGTAAACAGTGAAAAGCAAGAATGAAGCTTATGTAAGCGTTTTGATACATTACGCTGGGTCACAAAAGAACGCCGTCCTATTGGTCAAAATAACAATGTTCTTCTGTCCAATAGAAAATGAGGCTATTTGGTCCTTCATTTGCATGAGCCCTGTCGTTTTTGTGAGGCCTTATTACTATCCAATGAGAACTCAGTGCTTTTACGGCTTCATTTGAATTTCGAGACTATATATACAACAATCTAGTCGTATTCTCTTTTTCTTTTCCCATTCTAAGACTAGTGTGTCTTTGGTCTGGAAAAGATGCCTGAGCCTTCCAAGTCTGCTCCAGCTCCTAAGAAGGGCTCTAAGAAAGCCATCACTAAAGCTCAGAAAAAAGATGGCAAGAAGCGCAAGCGCAGCCGCAAGGAGAGCTACTCGGTGTACGTGTACAAGGTGCTGAAGCAGGTGCACCCCGACACGGGCATCTCGTCCAAGGCCATGGGCATCATGAACTCGTTCGTCAACGACATCTTCGAGCGCATCGCGGGCGAGGCGTCGCGCCTGGCGCACTACAACAAGCGCTCGACCATCACGTCCCGGGAGATCCAGACGGCCGTGCGCCTGCTGCTGCCCGGGGAGCTGGCCAAGCACGCCGTGTCCGAGGGCACCAAGGCCGTCACCAAGTACACCAGCTCCAAGTGAGCGGCGGACCTCACCGCAACCCAAAGGCTCTTTTCAGAGCCACCCACTCTATCAAAACAGGGCTGTAATTGGTGTCTTTGTGTGTGTTGCACTAAATTTGTCCTTAAGCATATGAAGTGACCCATTTGTCCAAATTAAAGGCTGAGGTCATTAGGGTTCTCCCTTGGGTGTTTAGACATTCACTTCACATTTCTCAGTTTCTGTTGTGTTGTGAATTTACTGTAAACAACAGCCAGGAACCCTTTGAGTTTGTATTCTACAGTGTGTGGACAGTTGCTAGTGTTCGGGAGTTGGCGTTTACAGGGGTTTAAGAACTTAGGATCCTAGTGTAAAATTAGCACTTAAACATTAAAGCAAGTCGAGCCGTTCAATTAAATGCAACCACAGCTTTTTAAACTAGAAATTTTTATTGGGTCCAGAAACTGGGCCTTTTACATACAGAGTTGGACATTGATGGTGGCTGGAACTCACAGTTAAAAATTCCTGTAACCACTTAGCTGTGCTGAAACGGAACATGTTGACACTCGACTCCTAAGACTTCCGAAGTAATCTCTAGAAACTGGTAAAGGCTTTGGGAGAGGATTCAGCAGTGCCCCGAGCCTTTGGACTAGGGCAGGAAGAAGCCAGATGGGGCAAAAGACTGAAACGAAAAGTAAGGTGAAGTTTCCACTGGCTTTGAGAATATGTAATAACAGACGAGGAAATAACTTCTCAAAGTGAGAAATTCATTGAAAATATTGCAAAATGTATTTTGAATCCATGATATTGGACCTGACTCCTGCTTTTCTTATTTGTTTATTTATTGCTTGGAGATGAAAGCCAGGCTCTTGAGTATGTTAGGCAAATACTTCAAGAACTTTTAGAATCCCTGGAAGTGGTGGCTCAATCCTTTGAACACAGTGGCAGGATGAATCTTTAAACCCTGGAGACAAAGGCAGGAAGATCTCTGAGTTTGAGGCCAGCCTGGTCTACAAAGCAAGTCCCAGGACAGCCAGGGCTACACAGAGAAACCGTGTTTCAAAAAACCGCACGCGCGCGCGCGCACACACACACACACACACACACACGCACACGCACACGCACACGCACGCACACGCACTCGCACACGAGACAGGAAAAGAAACAGAGGGAGAGCTGTCACTACACGGAAAACACTGTTGTTAAAATCTTTAAATCCTTGTCTAATTTAAATATTTTTATGTTGGTTCACACACCCCAACCCCAACACTGAAGAAAGACCTGAACATGCAGTTGAAGACACTTGCCTTGAGGAGGCCCCTTTGGACTGAGACCTGGTTGTATTATTTCTTACCATTTTTCAGACCGGTCTCCTAAACTGGGGGTCATTTTCTCTATTGTCTTCTTGCCTTTTACCAGCTCCCTTTGCTCTGGATTTTCTGTTTTCTTTTATGCAGAAAGACATGACTACTCGATGTTTTACTTGGTGTTATGCCATAGAGGAATGGGCGATGACAAATTTTGGAAAATAAGGAAGGCCTCCAAAGAAACCGGAGGCAGAAAGTCCAGGGGCTGTTCCATTATCAGAGGGGGCAAAGTGCATACAGAGGCAAGGGATGCCCCATTCCTGCTTACCTGTCGGCAGGAAGATGCAGGCTTCTCAATTTTGTCTTCAGCATCTGTCAGCAAAATTTTAAATTAATTAAGAAATTGAAATCACTATGTTGCTGAGGTTGACATGAAACTTTTGATCTTCTTGTTCCTACCTGCCAAGTGCTGGGGTTCCTGGGATTGTAGGAATGGCACCATAACTCCCTGTTCATGTGGTTCTGGGGTTGAAACCCAGGACACAGTGCAGGTCAGGCAAGCATTCTTTTTACCCATCGGGAACCATGATGGCATTTGTTTGTTTGTTTATTTTTTTGCTTGCTTGCTTGCTAGTTTTTGGTCTTAAATTATATGTGTGTGAATCAAGTTTTTTAATTTAATTTCCTGAAAATATGTTACCTGCCCATTACTTGAAATATTCACCACTGCCAGTAATTTAAAATGTAGACACAGTAGGCAAACTGAGACAGTTTTTTACAGCATGAAAATACGTTTTGATACTTCTCGATGCCCTTATGAAAACACATCATGGGGAATATTAAAGGGGGATTTGTTGGTTCAATGGCAAACACAAGGTATTTTCCATATCGATCCTCTAGATGCCTTCCAGAATGGATATGTACACTGTCCAAAAGTACCACTTTGCTCTTCAAAAGGGGTGTATGACCAACTTTCTAAATTTTTCCCAGTTGACAATTGTTAATGGCAACATAATCTAATCACTTTTATTTTAAAACAATACATTCATATAAGATTTCTCTCATTATGATTTCATTATTCATATCCTAATTTTTCTTCTCCATTGACTAAAAAATGCATGCTTCTCAAAATCTTTCAATGTTATGAAATAATTCTGAAAATACCTGTCCAACATGTAGGGGATTTCTTGAACCCCACCCCCTTAGTCATCTAAAGACACTTTTTCATCAAAAGATGTTCAGTTTTGATAAATCTCTTCTAACCTGAAGAAAGGAAAGTTTATCACAAGAAAGACTACACCAGACATGGTTATGTATAGTCCACTTAATACACTAGAGCACATACATATTAACCCAGTGAAAAAAATCTCTGTGTTCTTTCTGACTTTACATTCCCATGGTCTACAGAGAAACCATCCCAAAAACACCGAGGTTACACTGGATTTTGGAGTAGGCATTTTTCTTTTTTTCGATGCTCCCAGATTGCTAACTTAAGTGTTTTTCTCTGTTCATTCCTCTATAAGTGTATTTTATAGGCTTAAATGATCAGACCCTGAGTCATGGGAAGTTTCCCATCCCTTACATTTAGCAGCTGGATCTGCACAAGCAGTAGAATGGAGGAGAATGGGGAGTTTTGGGAATGATTAAAATACTTTGTATGATGGTCAAGTGAAAAAAAAAAAAAAAAAAAAAACAAAAACAAAAACAAGAGAGTGATGGAAATTGCTTGGCAGAAAGATGGGCAAAGCTTTTCCAGACAGCAGGTGAGTCCTTGGTCTCATTCACTCCCTCATACCTTGGGCCAAGTAAATGATGGATCTAAGTCTATCTAGGCTTTCTCCAATCACCAAGACAAGAATGCTTTTCTCTGTACATACTACAGGTTCTCATTGGCCTAATATCCTTGCATGTTCTCTTGGGTCGGTCAGTGACTAAGCATGGTCTCCATGTCCTCAGTCTCCACATTTCAGGTAACATAAGGATAAGTGACCCACTATAAAGAGTAATTTGCATATAATATAATTTGAAAGAGAGAGAGAGTTTCTTTTTCTTTTGGAGATTTGTGGAGATAAATAAAACAAAGCCGGGCACAGAATCTCAAAATATGTACTCAGCCTATTATGGGGAGCCAACCAGGGATGACCACTCAGACACAGTTTATAATCAATTGAAAGTCTTTATTCCTCAGGTATTCAGGACCTAAGTGTAGTCCTGAGCATTCACAGTGAAGGGCTTTAAAGGCAAACCCCACATCCTGGCGTCTCCCGATGCAACCCTAGAGGGAGGTTTCTAATCAGCGAGCAGTTTAACAGAGGCTAAGATAGCTGGGGCGTCTGGACCTCCGTTTCCTAGAAGAGTTGCGGAGTTTTGAATGGGATTCTACAAGATCAAGTTCTAGAACCTGGAATAGTCTTAGCACAAATAC